GAGTAAAATTCATAATAGAACTTCATAATCTTAAATCGTTATCAAAAATTATTAATGGTAAAACTTCAAACAATAGATTCTTAAACAAATGTCTAGTTTTTGTTTTGCAAAAGACTTTTTTGCCTTTTATTTTAGTAGTTTCGAGGAGAATTTTCCTGTGGAAACCAGTAGAACCATCAATTGGTTGGTAAAATTTTGATATTTTGAGTCTGATAAGTCTTGTTAAACTTTCTTCTTAGGAAGCTATAACCTTATGGAGAATAAAAATTTTATGTTAGATCAAAAGCTCTTAATTGAGAATTATATTTGCAAAGGCCGTTTTAATAATATTTTCAAAAGTTCTTGGAATCGTTGTTAACAGAAACCTGCAAAAAAATATATAATTTTATTCCTAAAATATAAGATATCACACAATGCACATTCATATAATATCATTGTGCTAGAAAAATACTAGGTAGTTACTGAGACAATTTAAAAAAAGTATTTCAAAAAACTCAATTTTTAATGTCATCATTGTACTTAACTTTTTATTGCTAAATTATTAATAATGTCATTTTGTGTAGTTCGTTGTGATTTGTATAATATATATTATAAAAAACTATCATCAATGTTAATGTGCCAAGTTTTTTTAATAATTATGTCCTTGTTACAGTAAAAACACATTTAACCACATTTTTAAAGTTTTCTGGATTTCTGCTTTAAATTATCGTACAATTAAACTGACTAATTGTGAGTTTAAGTAAAGGTATATCTCTTTTTTGTTTTAACAGTCTTTGTATATTGTTTTGACTTTTTAGATAATCAGAGAAAACAGTAAGACATCTCTTAATATATCCTATTTCACCAACAAAAATGTAGAATAATTAATCTCACATCAAACGAAAAAAGTAATTTTAGGGTGTCCTAATAGGTTTTAACTTAAAAACTAAATAAAATGTATATTGCAACTGTGTTTAAACAAATGAATGTTTTTATACCTGACTATAGCACCAGACAAACATTTTTTTAGATCATAATGATCTGCATAACTCAAAATAGTCAAAATCCACATTATTTAAGTTGTTCTAGTATTGTTTTAGCATAACGATGTTAACTCCAATAATAAATATTCATATTTTTTTGGGACGTTTTTTAAGGAAATTAAAAAAAAAAACATGAATAATGTGATATTCTTGTTTAGTTGTGTACTATATAATATAGTTCATTAGGTAGTGATTTAGAAGAAAATTATGTTCTATTTATAGAATAAAAAATCACTCATAATATCTAAATATTTATACCTCTTTATATTTTGGACAGGAAGACTATTTTATGTTTTTGGCTCTGAATAGTTTTCTTAAGAATTTTAAAACCTTCCTTAGCTCTTTTGGGATATTCCATGCATATCTTAGAAGTTCATTTTGTTTAAACCTAAAACAAATTAAGTACAAAAAATGAACATTTAAACAATACACAAAATTAGTCTTTTAGATTAGTTAAAAAAAATGTCAACAAAAAAATGGCTATGCCTTGTTCCTTAAACATTCTTTTTGAAAGGAAATTAAGTTTCTCTACTTACTTGCTGTTTTAGTATTTTAGTAGCAGATGAATATAATGTAGAAGTAGTGACAGGATTGATTATTATACTTCCTTCCTTCCTCGAAATTGCATTTTTCTTTAATATTTTCCTTCCCTGAGGTCTGTAATAAAAATGTTCATTAGCATAAAAAGTTATTCAGGTGGTCACTTGTTGAATTCCTATATTTTGGAACCATGTATTTCTTTTTCATATCAAGAAAAGGAAACCTAAAAAAAATAACAATAAACTTTACAAAGATGTGATATTAAAATAATAATAAGTAATTAACCTTTACTATAATCATTATGAGACGAATGAAGACGAACTTAGCTGGAGTTTACTTGCTCTTAATTTTAATAAGAAAATAAGAAAGTTTAATTGCAAATTAAAGGTGATTGCCTAATGCACCGCCTCTGATAATTAGGTTGTGTCTGTACTTACTTATGATATTATCTTGAAGAAGCATTTTCAACAGGCCTTTTACACATAAAGCATGTTTTCACCATATTATTAGAGATAATAAATCTTAAATATACATTTACAACCCTTACAACGTTATAAATAATAATATTTTCCGTAAAATACAAATAAGAAATTGACATGTGTCAGAAAGTGTCAGAACTGGCGCTCACAGAACACTTCTGCCGCTGTCAAACTTGGCAACGCTGATTAAATAAGCCAATTACAGAAGAGGTATTTTCCCCCTCGGGGGGAGTAGATGTTGCTAACAAAATTTAGCGCGGGGAAGGGGGGAAGACTCCCTCTAGTAGTAATTGCTCGGAGATTACCGACAGGTCAGTCGTTATAATTTGTTTATCTATAACCATATAGGTACATACCCCTATAACCTATAACTATAACTAGCTACCCACCTATAAGTAATAGGTAACAGTAACTAGTAACTATAAGAGCAATAACTTATTACTCTTTAATTGAGTGAAACCCTTGTAAGAAGGGACGATTTTGTCAGATGACAGTGACAGGCCCAGAATAAAACCGTGATCTGGCTGTCAAAAAACTCAAGCATTCACTACCTGGTTGTTGCGGTTAAGGAAAGGTAAAATGGTTAGTAAAGTGACCTCATTTCTATTGAAAACAAAGGATTTGGTGGATGTGTTTTGCCACGATTAAGCCGGTGATGGTTACAGTTAAACTAGTAACGGATTAACCAGTGACTGGTCACGGTTACGGTTAAACCGCCGATTCTGGTCTAACCAGTCCGGTTTGACCGGCTCGGTTTGATCGGACCGGTTAAACGGATAATCTGACCGGTTAAACGGATAATCTGACCGGTTGACCAGATAATCGGACTGGTTATAATAATAGTTAAAATCCGGTTAAAACCGAAACCGGTCAAAATCAATCAAACCGGTTAATCGTTTATCACGTCAGGAATTGACAGCCTTACTAAAAACCTTGAGAATGCGGGTATATCCGATATATCAGTGCAGGAGACATAATTCGTTCCAGAATAATAATTTGTACGAACATTTAGAATTTCAAAAGAATTGTGTAAATTTTTAATAAATGCAATCTCGCCCTATATGAGACCTCAGATTAAATATAAATTTACATATTTCATTTATTTGATTAATAATAGGTTTCTGATTTTGTAGGTTTTAGTGGCTTTAGGGTTTTTCTTGCGCTAAGAAGCTGTACAATGAACATTGGTAGAAATTTATTTGTATCAGTTTTCCGGGCATCAGTATACCGATGCATTAAAGAAATCAGCAGTTCAATAAGTGAACCAGATTATTTTTAATAGATTTAACATTTTGCGAGAAATTTTGTAGACCAAAATTCAGTCAGATAATAAAAACTCATATTACATGATACAAAATATTAGTATATCATGCTGTCACTTTAATATAATTGTAACAGTCCCAAAGTGAGAATGTAGAACATTCGCAAGTTATTAGGCATTTCAACGACCTGTCAAACTGCTGACAAGTCGAAACTGATATTTAGATATTGCAACCCTGTGAGCCTGGTGTCATTGACAGGGCTAACAGTATTTTTTTTTTCATTTTCAAGTTTTTGGTAACTGCTACATAATTTTTCCGGCTCCTTCCATTGGTGGTAAATATTGTCATGAAATTCCTAAGCAGTTCCTGTGTCTAAAGCAAGCGTGACCTTCAGCTGACACCCGGGTCATGCTCGAGACGACGGAACGTTTAGGAATGCCGCTGACGCACTAGAAACGGCTAGAATGGGCGGAGAGTGCCATTGAGTCAGATATGGAATTTTCGGGACCGTCTGGAGTATTTTGGTTACGGAGTTGGCTTGATATAAATATCGCGAGTTTGAAGACGGCAGTCAGTTGATTATAGACAGTTTAGTTTAGAGTATTGGAATGAAAAGTTAAAGTTAGTATCTAAGTATTATATAAATTAAATAGTACGTCATAAATAAATTGTAAATAGTGTGTTTTAAATAAATAAACTATAAATAAATTAGACTATTGTCACAGTACTAAGTCGTATTATGTTTAATTTTCCAGATATATTTTTAAAACCAATATTAAATCTAATTAAAAATACAGGCAGTCAAAAGTGTCAACAAGCTTTCCTGTAAAATTTTGTAAAATGGACTTAATACTCTTTGGCTCTAAGGTCGAGATATAGTTTACGCGCAAGTGCTCATTAATCAGAATCGATTTTGCAAAAATCTGTTTACAAACCAATATTTAGCCTCTGAATATAGTAAAAAAAAAATAATTACCTACATTTTTACTTCAAGTTTATGTTTATTTTGAAAAATATGGATGATCAATCTATGTAACTATCTATATCATTGAACTTGTCAAATCACCAGGCCTACAGGGTTGCTATAATTTTGCCATATCATAACCTGTCAAAACCCACTGGTAGCCAATTTGTTTGGATTGCCTAATTGCGAATAGGTCTCAAGAATCTTATTTTAGGAAAGTATGTGCAAGTGAACCCTTCGCAAGGTTGAATATACGTGTAACTGCGAAGGATGTTAAAAATAGCGCTGCTGAAGGAAGCTCTTTTGAGATAGTTAAATTTAGAAAGTCAATAAAAATTGTTTCCTTCTTTAGGTTTTTTGTCAAGAAATTTACATTCTTGGTTATATTTAAATAAAAGATTATTTTTTTGTAATATTATAACAAAGAATTTTGTTGAACTTAAAATTATCTACAAATTAAAAAAGGGTTAAGAAGATATTTTATTATTAAAAATTTTAATGCGCGGCCATGATTTTTGAAGATTGCGTGTTTAGTTCACAACGGACTTTTTTTGTATTTTCATATTCTTGTTTCTGTACATGAAATCAATCGATTACAATTGAAAAAAAATTTCATTAATTGAGAAAATAAGATTTGCCTGATCTACAAAAATTAGGAGTGAAATTACCCACACCTTTAAAACCTGCATATGTATAATAGTTTACCTTTATGAACAAATCCTCTTACTTTACCATGGCTTAGTAACTGCATTTAAAACCAGTTTTAAATAATATGAAAGTAGGTATAATTCTACTCTTTCGATATAAAGTTTTTAATAATTATGTTTACAACATAATATTATTGTGCTTTAAATTGATAAACATGTTCGAGATAACTGTTGGTGTATTACTTTTAACGTTAATTGTCTGGTTCGTTTTAAAAATTCAGAAAAATGGGAAATTTATGAAAAATATTCCTGCATCTAATCACTACCCGATTTTGGGAATTGCTGTGGACTTCTTGGGAAACACAGAAAGTAAGTTTTTATTATATCAAAAGTAGCTCAAAAAAGTCTTATTTATGCTTACAAAGATCATTCAACATTTTTCTATCGAGAACATAACTACTTATTCTCTGTTTGTTTGTTTGTTTCTTTTAAGCTTATAGACCAGGGATGAAGCCTTTGAAAATGGTAAAAGGTAAAAAAAAAATAATAGCATGAAATCCATTGGAAAAGGAAAGGAAAAATAATTTACGGGCGATTTGAGGTCGGGAAGTGGAAGGGAGTTTTTAAGGGTGAAAAACGGTTTATCTCGATTTCCGGCAAAACTACAAGCCCTATGGAAAAATCTTAAAGAGCAAAGTTGTAGGTAATTAAAAGATCTACAACTTTTGTTATTACACTTTTTTCACATACCCTCAAAATTTATGTAAAAAATTCAAATAGCCAAGTATTTGGATTTTTATTTTTATCTTTTCCAAAAATATTATTTTTTTTTCACAAAATTTGGTGACAACTTACGTTTTTATGTCCCAAATACACTGTAATTTTTTTAATTCAAAATTTTTATTTTTTCACCTAATTTTGACTAATATCAAAAAGCACCCTAATTTTGAATCGAACGTTCTGCCGCCAAAATATCTGGTTTTTAAAAAAAAAGTCGGTGGACTTATTTTTCGCTGAAATCTCTGCTTTTTGATTGTGTAAAAAAATATATACAATACTATGGTAATTGTTCTCAAAAATTTTTTTTTAATTATGTATAATTTTGAGCTATTTGTTAAAATTTGCACTTTAATTATTTGAAAACGTAAGATTTTTTGTCTCTTTCTTCATCGTTAGATTCGACAAACCTTCCCGATTCTAGTAGATGTTCGAAATCTTCAAGACCATCACCGTCTTCGCCTCCAATATTATTTCCACTCTGCATTGGTTCTTCATCCACAATTTCATCTGAATCATTAACTTCCTCGTAGTTATTTTCTTCCACATTGGAGCATTTTTCAAAACCATGACAATTTGAGCAGCCACATTTTAAACTGTTACATCCAGTTTCACAGCTGCAACCAGGGGCAGCTCGTGACCAAAATTTTGGGGGTTCATAGTAGCAGAATATAGATCCCGGTACAGATATAGGTATAGTGTTTTAGAAAGGTATATTATAAACTTTCTAAAACGCTGAAAGTTCTTTTCATACATATGTACTGATATCTACCGGGTGTTCAACGTTTCAGACGAAAGTTTTAAAGTTTTGTGGGGAAAAACTTTTGACTAAAATCGTTTTTTTAGCTAATTATAATATGGCCAACTTTTTTTTCGCGCAGCAACATTTTCAAGTAGCTGTTACTCAAAATGTAAAAGTCCAATAAAAAAAATATTTCCCTCAAAAGTTTCTTATTTTTTTATGTACTTTAAGAATATGTAAGAAAAAAATGGGATTCCCATTTAAAAAAACAAAGTCCACCTCGATATGGCCATATTATGGTCATCTACAAAAAAATGAATTTAGCCAAAATGTTTCCCCCAAAAAACTATAAAACTTTTGTCTGAAACTTTTTTTTCTAAAATGCATATTTTTGGCAGTATTTGACTGTAACACTTTAATTTGAACACCCGGTATATTCTGTCACTATGAATCCCCAAAATTTTGGCCACGAGCCGCCACTGGCTGCAACAAATAGTTTTGAGCAATATTTCCGGAATTAATTCCTTTTCTGTTTTTGGTTAAAATGTGGTGATGGCATCTGCACGTTTTTGAAGTCGGTTTTTTTAAATTTTTAATTTGTAATACTTGTTAACAGACTTCAAAAAAACATATAATATAATAAAAATGTCATGGACCTAATGAGGCCTAAGTGCCGTGGGGGTAATCCACCCTCCACACGTTAAAGATACAGATAATAAAAAAGTAATATAATAATTTCATTTAGAAAAGCTATGATAATTGTAATCAAATTTCATCCTCTTTAGAATGTGATAAGACATTTTCTTCATCGTCTCCACGGTCATCATCAGTGTCATGAATATACCATGGCTATAAAGCTGGACGAGTCCAGATTTAAACAAATCTACTGCCTTTTTAGGAAAGTGCTGCAGGTTCTTTCTTTTTTAATTTTCGTTTGCTCGTGATTACAAGGTCGAAACTAAGTAAAAACGAAGTATAGACGTCCTCATTAGTTTTCTCTGTTAATTGGTCTATAGGCAACAAAGCAGAATATATTATTTCAGGCTCATGTATAAAGTATTTGTGCAATGTCGGAGGCATATTGACCGTGGGTACTTTTCAAAAAAGTATCTAGCGGTGTTGTGAGCAAATTCTATTAATCTCATTCTTTCCAGAACTTCTCATGATATCAAAAGTGTTTTTCTCGATAAAAACATAGTGTTCAACCTCGTTCCAGAAATAAAATAAAAAATAAATTAAATTGTTATGTGCGAAAGACTGTTATGTTTTATTTTTACCGGGTGGACTATAAAAACTGTATTTTGTTTTTATTTTCATTTTTTAAATAATAAACCGATTTTACTGTTCTTAGGCTCCATGTTATAAATAACTAACTATGCTCCCAGATCTACCAAAAATAAACTAGCTCTAAATCGACTCATATTTCAATTAGGTTCGCTATCCTGGAATTTAAAATTTCCGCCATTTTCATTTAATGGTCGAAAAGTATATTTACATACCTACCAAATCAGACACATTGAGTCCAAATCGGTCAAAAACTAAAATAGCAGCGTTGTAAAGCATAATGATGTGTTATTATTAGCTTCTATGAAAACATAAAAACTAGACAACTTTGATTATCTATATCTTACGATTGAATGGACCAGTCGTGCTCGGAGAGGTCTTAAAATAAATAAAATAAGTTAAGTATTTAACTTTTGTTATTAGATTTTATATTTAATTTATAATTATTACGGAAAACGAGCATAAAATGGGTTACTTTTAGGCTCGTTTTTTTTTCTTCCATTAGGTCGGCCATCTTAAATTTTACATTTCTGGCATTTTGTTATGTCTGTCTTGAAGTTCATTTAGTTGCCTATAAAATGAGCCTAAGGACAATAAAATTGATTTATTAATAAACGAAATATATTAAAAAAGACAGAATTCGTTTTTGACGATCGTCCCGCCATATATTTATATACTTTGAAAAAACACAAATAGTGAAGAAAAGTGCCAATAAGTGCACAGAAACTAAACGATTTCGTAAAGTACAAATAATATTCATTATGAAAAGTCGAAATTTAAAGCTTGGACTGCTTTGGAACATAACAAATAACCTTCATGTATTTAAGAATATTTTAAAATTTTAACGTTTAACCTTCATTTTACTTAACCCCAATATTATAGGATTACGTTTATTTTTCTACTACTTTTTACTTATTAAAATAATAATACATAGCTGAACTTAAAGGCTCGATGACGAAAATTTGAAAATAAAAAATCAAAATACAGCCTAAACACAGCACAAAAACAAGTTAAAAACTACGAAATAACAATGAATATACAGGGCGTTAAAAAAAAGTGTCACAAAATGAAATGGTGAATAGTATGACCCAAAATAAGCAGAAAAGTCTTAATAAATATATGACCGCAAATTAACGGTTTCGGAGATACGGACCATTTTGTGTTTATAACAATTTTTTATTATTATAAAAAAACAATGATATTTATAAGCAATCAATAACAACATAGAGTCAAATGAGATGTTCAAATACTGACGTAGCGCTTCCCTCGCATTGCTATTTGCACGACCGTACATAAAATGCATGTCAGCTAATTCAATATTAGTGTAAACAGGCATAACGAAAATTTATAAAATTATTCACCCACAACAAAATAATAACTGCAAATAGTATCTATGAAAAAACATCGGTAGACTCCGATAAGAAAAGCAAGTTTTTGAGAATTAAAAAAAAAATCAAAAAATGATACAAAACACAAAACACTCCGTATCTCTAAAACTATTCATTTGCGGACATATGTTTATTAAGACTTTTCTGCATATTTTGGCCCATACTACCCCCCGTTTTATTTTGTGACACTTTTTTTTAACACCCTGTATACTCGCCTCAGATAAGTAACTTCGACTGAGGGTGGTGATGAAACGCGTGAGACAGAAGATCGCACTTGTTCGTTTTATTATGTAGTGGATAGTAATATATCAGAAAAAAATATGAGGTAGAGTGTATATGCTATTTAATTTTTTTATTTATTGCCAAATTTGAGGGCTTCTTGCCCCAGTGTGCGTCGGTAGAACCATTGAGTTAGTAGGGAGAGGAGATGACATACTATACAAATATTCAAAATACTGTGGTACTGACATACTTTGATTCTAATACGATGCAAGAGAGACATCCGACACGTCCAAGATAGAGCGCGGCCATTTTGATGCAAACACTACTAGGTTAGGCAACACATATTTACCCAAAACGTTAAATTGGTAGTCTACATCTTGGTATTTTGAGATTTTAAATGAATGCAGCAAATGAAGAAAAAACGTTTATTTATTTTAAATAATATACTTCTTTGAAGTAAAGTTATAATTAGGAGTGCATCTTAAAATAGAAATTGCGATCTTTGGTATGCTATCTCCGTGAATTGTTGTGCTAACGTACTTAAAAAATATGATGCTTACCTTTTTAGTATTTTCAGATATTTTGCCTGTTTTACAAAGCTACATAAATACTTTTGGTCCAATGGTTAAAGTATATGTAAGACCTGCAACCTTTGGTCTGTTAGCAACTGACGAAAAATTTTTAGAACACGTTTTAAGTTCTAATAAGTTGATAGACAAAGCTAAACCTTACGAATATTTAAACAATTGGCTAGGATCTGGCTTGTTGACAAGTACAGGTAAGAACAAGAAAGATACTCTTAATATTAAAGCAAACGGAATATCAGCTAAACTTTTCTGAAGATGATACCACTTGTTTTAATTTCAGTTCATTTAAAACAAAATTCAAGTACCTACTTTTTAAGCTTCTTCACATCTTCGTTTAGTCTGTATAATTGTTGACGTTATTATTCCATAGCTTGGTTCACTTTCTGATGAAGAAATTGAAATGTTAGGTATGAGAAGGTTCATCTAAGGTTTTCCAGATTGTTGAAATTCAAATATTTTTATCTTTAGTAAGACATGAAACTGCTGTAAAGATACACTAAGTATTCGTAAAAACCCAAGGGCATCGATAGGTTTTTCCTTATGGGGGTGATTGAAAATGAAAATATAAAAAATATAGTATATTATATATTAATTAGAATTGTACATAAAAGATTCTAAGAAAGTAAGAAAACCATAAATGTAATTCATATTCTTTGAGTTTTCGTTGTATTGAAAGGAATATTTAATATTTCATAGAACAAACTAATACAGAAATAAAATGTTTGGTACAAAATCAAAAAGTCAGTTTTAAATATATATTTACAGATCCTTATGAATTGAGTTTAAAAAATATACCTCCTTCAAAATAAATTAAAATTTACTGTTTTTCTGAAAAGCATATATCTCGGAAAATATATTCTATACAGAATCTGAAATAGATTTTATTTCACATTCTCAATGAAGGTGTAAAATAGGACTGCACCTACTAGTTTCTCTTGAACTATAATGGTCGATTTTAAGTAAGTATTGAGGCGTTTTGTTCTAATTTTTTGAATCCACACCTCATGCTCTGGTTGTAATTTATTAAAAAAATACTCTTAACTTCGTTTAAAAAAAAGCTGTAAATAATGACTTAAATTATCTGCCATTTTGTTTATTTCTATACGATATTTTTTTTAGGATGGGGGAAGGTGTATTAGTCCATTGATTTTTAAATTTATACATCAGAATGTTCCTCCCTGTAGCGACGCCATTAGGAGAACCTGTAGAATGTTTTAAATGATGTAAATGCCCTAGATCTGAGTATTCTGTGGGATTCAAACCACAAATGCCTGTGCAATTTAGCTTAGCAAAAGACATTACTTGATATATTATTAGAAGTATATAATTTAGACCAACGTTTTAATATTGGTTTCTGATCCAAAGATATTACTTTGTAATGTATTTGTTTAAGTTAGTCCTAATTTTATTATATATTTAGTAATAATGACGCCTTTCTTTTTGAATAAATATATTTTTGACAAGTTTCAATCTACTGTTAACTAAACATCACATTTAACAAAACCTTTTCACTCTCCGTCAGTCCTATCATTGCCTATCATTTGATCTTAATGTCGTCGGCACCGTCTACCATTATCTAATAATGTTGTTATCCTAGTTTCTTTAGTACAGTTCCAAAAACTCATTTAAATTTTCCTCCTTAAATGTTCTTATTTTTTGTTTTTTTGTCTTTTGGACTGTACTGATCTTTTAAATTGGTTAATAGATCTAATCTGGTTCGAACATTTCTACCAAACATTAAGTTATAAGCACTTTCCCCTGAAGCATTCTGTACTTTTCGGAGTTATTTATCATGATTACGCAATTTCTGATATATTTGTTCCCAGAGCCTCTGAGTTTAAGGACCTTTGTCATCAGAAATACCAAGACCTTTAAAGATATTGATAAGCTGTTACTATTATATTATTCTTTTGTGCGCTCTAAACTAGAATATGCCTCTGTCATATGGTGTCCCTCACATGATATTTACATTACCACATTAGAACGAGTACAGCATAGGTTCTTGAAATAATTGAGTTTTAAAGAAGATGGTCTCTATCCAGTTATCGGATACCCCTACATAAATCTCCTTAGCAGATTTTGTGAAAAATCACTGGAAGATAGGCGTGACATTGCAGGATTAATTTTTATTTACAAAGTCATAAGTGCATCTATTGACTGCTCCGAGGTCTTAAGTATGATTAACTTTCTTGTACCTAGAATTACGTCTAGAGTAAATTCCTCTTTCTATTTACCAAATGCAAGGACTAACATACAAAATCACTCACTTTTGTATAGAATATGCAACTGCTATAATAAAATTGGTTCATCACACACTTCGCCTGAAGCACAAACAGGTTGACCCAAAATGCCAATGAAAACGAAAAACGGAGTTTCGTTGGCGATTAATAGTACATTAAAAGCCCGCTTGAATGAAAATCCTAGCTGATCCTTTTTTCAAGATAAGTGGATTTTCACTTATTCATATTTTTTTATCATAATTAACCCGGGAACGACCAATCCACCAAAATTTTCCACCCCAAGTTTTTGTTCTCGAGACCCATGCGATGGTAGTTGCAGCTCTTGACATTGATCGTTTTTATCCCTGAGAGGTTTTTTCACGAGAAAATCGGTCAAACTGAGGCTTTTCGAGTGTGTTTTAAAGTGGTATTCGCTGAAGGCCTAATCCACTGCGAAAATAAAAATGAAAACGAAAATAAAAATAATAATGAAATGAAAACTACTGAGGCATGTTTTTATAAATGCTGTGAAGAAAAATTTCACTTGAATGAAAATCCTAGCTGATCCTTTTTTCAAGATGGGTGGATTTCCGCTTTTTCGTAATTTTTCAGCATAATTGAGCGATATTGTTTCTTGGCGGTGCTATTATTGAAGCATGCAAGTATGTGTGTGTGTGTGTGTGTGTGTGTGTGTGTGTGTGTGTGTGTGTGTGTGTGTGTGTGTTGTGTGTGTGTGTGTGTGTTTGTGTGTGTGTGTGTGTGTGTGTGTGTGTGTGTGTGTGTACGCGTGTGTGTGCGCATGTGTGTGTTTTTGTTCGTGTCCATACACGTGATCAAGCGCCAAGCTCGCTCTATTGATCAATCAAATAACAGAAAATAGTTATAAAAAAAACCGCTATTTAGCGCATGTTACACACCGGGCACTCCCGCGCAATAGAAAATCGAATCTGTAGATCATAGATGAATATTCATTTCATAGCCGCTCCCAATTAGTAACAAGTATTCTCTTAAAAAATCTTGTTATCTCTGGTCTCCAAGATCATGGAAAAAAATATCCTATCAACTCACTTAGATCATAAATGCGATCACGAAGAGAAAGTATGTGCACCATGTGGTAAAAAAATCGTTGTTGCCAATCGTCGAAGATCAGAATTTTCAATTACTGAAAATCTTACTGATTTAATTAAACAGCATATAAACCATCAGTTTGACCTGTCTAATTTCCTGTTAGCATTTGTAGTACTTGTCGAAGAACTATAATGGAACGAGAGAAAAGTAATCTAAACAGGCCACTTCCAACAATGCCTAATACCTAATTATGAGGCAAAAGAAACTAGAACCAGGACAACTTCTGATTGCAATTGTTTTATATGTCTAACGGCACGATTCAGAGGTCATTCTAAAATAGTTAAGGGCAAAGGTAATGTACGTACTTTTGAAACTATAATAGATCAAAATTGTGGTCTTTATGGATCTGCTTCAAATCCCGATCTTCCGTCTAGAAGTGGACAAAGTAATACTGAAAAGATAACGTCCATGAACATTTGCAATGAGTGTTTTCAGAAAATTGGCAAAGGTTTGCGTCATTCTTGTGGCGCAGGTCCTTCTTCATTTAGTGCCCGTGAAAACGTCTTGAGTTTAGTAGAAAGAATACCAGAAAAGCACCAAAGCAAATTCACCCATCTTAAAAAAAGAATTAGATAGGATTTTCATTAAAGCGGGCTTTTAATGTACTATTAACCGCCAACAAAACGCCGTTTTTCGTTTTCATTGGCATTTTGGGTCAACCTGTTTGTGCTTCAGGCGAAGTGTGATCACTTGATATTTTTTCCTGCAGCATTGCTTCAATAAAACGTATAACGATTACTTAATATATATATTGTGTACTTATTTGTAAATGTTTTATTAATTTAATTTTTTTTGTTTACTATTTGTTCATATTTGTATTTTTATAATCTGTAAGTTTTCCTACCCTCATTGGATTTATCTATTGGATAGTGTAATAAAAAAATATTGCTTAGAGATTTTTTATGTCTTTGTCCACATTTCATTTTAGTCATGCCAATATGTCTAATAGGAAGCTCTTTTAATACTTCACATCGCAATGTTTAAGGTATCATTACTTCACTACCATGAAAAATACACCCATCTTGCAGTGTCAAATCATTTTCTTGATAACCTAGTTCTTTTAAACTCTCTCCATTTTGTAATTTAGTTAGTAAATAATTTTAAATGATCATCCTTAGTAGTTTCTCTTGCTAAATTCTTAACTGTAATTGGTAAAGTTTCAATCTGCTTTAGTTGATAAATTTCGTACTGATCTTTAAAATTGATGATACTTTCTTCAACTGGAAATCTCAGATAAAGTTCTACGTTTCTTTGTCATTCTAATTACTTCTATTTCCAATTATTTTAGTTTTAATACTTATTGGGACACATACAGTTTTTATTTTTAGTATTATCTTGACATCTAGGTAATTTATATATTTTTGGTTTATTAATAATTTAATTAATTATATTGTTTTCTGATTAATTTATATTATATTATATTTTATAGCCAAAATATATCTTGCTTAAATTTACTCGTATTCTTAATTTAGGAGACAAATGGAAAATGCATAGGCGAATATTGACACCCTCATTTCATTTTGCGATTTTGGAAAATTTTATAGAAATTTTTGAAAATAACGGTGATATATTAATACAGAGACTTGAAGCAGAAATACCAAAAAATAGTTTTAATATATACCCACCAATAAATCTTTGCGCTTTGGATATTATATGCGGTAAGTTAAAAAGAACTAATATATTGATAATTATTATAATTTTTTTCTTAAGTTGTATTGAATTGAATTACATTTATTACATAGGCCGATTTAAGTAAACTTATATCAGTACAAAGGTTTTAATCTCATAAACCGTTTTAAATTTAAAATGAAGAATCAATTTAAAAATTTAACCTTTGTACTCTTTAGACCCTTGACCCAGTATGTAGTGAATATAAAAAAAATACAGTAAGCTAAAATGTGGATAAATACCCTGTATCTTGGTTATAAATAATCAGAGACTCATTAAATATAGGTTACTAAAAGCCACCCCAGTGGTTAATCTTTATACAAGCTAAACTTAAATAAAAAAAAAAAACAAAAAACCTATTTTCTGATTATTTAACCAATTTTTAATTGAATGAGAAGTAAAACAAAAATTATTTTAGAATCAGCTATGGGTATTTCAATAAACGCTCAAAAAGTTGAAACCTCCGACTATGTGAAAAGCGTCAAACTAATGTCGAAAATAGCCATGGAGCGAACAATTTTACCACTTCCTAATTATATTTATCCTCTTACCCCAAACTACTACAGAGAAAAGAAACTTCTTAAAATTATTCATAGTCACGCAAATAAAGTAATAGATCGAAAAATAAACGAATTGAAATTAATAAATAATGGCAATGCTGGTGGAAGAATTGGCATGGAAGCAGATAAATCCAAAAAGAAGTTTGCTTTCTTGGATATGCTTTTAAATACCACTCTGAATGGGGTTCCATTATCTCACAGAGAGATTAGAGAAGAAGTTGATACCTTTATGTTTGCAGTATGTATATTTGTTATTTTATTTACTTAACACAAAAATAATATCAAAGTCCTTTAGTTTTATATTTTGGTGTTAATTGTACAAACACGTTACAAGCTTTAAATTTGGTTGAAAATAAGTAGGATCATATCATCTCACCAATTAATAATAGCTTAATGAGTCGATTAAATGTATTATATTCCAAATTATGATACCTCTTTTAAATGGAACCGTTTCTCTCAGAGCGCAAATTAAATAACCTCATCTTATCTTTTTTGATTCTAACACGTCTAGCCAAGGCAGAATCTAAGGCAATCAGCAAACATACTGCGATGGATGTATACTGCAATATTGAGACCAATCATCAGTTACGGGGCTATAGCCTGGAGTAACAGAACTAGTTTAGTTACTACGAGAGCTAATATCTCAAAAGTACTAAGACTAGCCTGTGTTTGCATTACTGGTGCAATGAGATCGGTCGCAATGGAGGTGTTCTCAAACCTCACCCCTCTATACTTAATGTGGCAAAAAGGACACGATACACAGAAGTACAGTTTTGTGAGAAACTTCAAAACCACAGAGCTGGGCTGCAAGAAAGAATGGGACCAAGAATCCTTTGCGCTTGTTAACGAAAGACGTGCTATTCACTGGTATACGGACGGTTCCAAAACCATAGAAGGAACTGGAATAGGAGTGTATGGGCCGAGAACCAAGCACTCCAAAATTTTGGGAAAATCTTCCAGGCGGAAATTCACGCCATCGAGAAATGTATCCAGTTTAACATCGAGAGAAAATATCATAGACAAGAGATTATCATTATGTCCGATAGTCAAGCAGCCATCAAAGCGATGAGCTCTTACGTAAGCAGCTCAAAAATGGTCTGGAGATGCCTAAAACAATTGAATAAGCTAGGCGAGAAAAATAGACTTACTCTCACTTGGGTCCCGGGACATAACGAGGTACAGGATAACGAGATTGCAGATAGTCTTGCAAGGAAAGGGGCTTAAACACCCTTTGTAGGACCTGAGCCGTTCTGCGGTATCAGCAGTAACATAATATTAGAAGAGATTAAAAAAGAATTGGGCAGTAGAAGAACCGAAAATTGGAACAATCTCTTGGGCTGAGACAGGCCAAGATACTTCTGGGTGAATATAATCAGAAAAGATTGGAAGCCTGAATCTGCCTGAGCAGGAACAGACTACATATTGTAACAGGGATCCTTACCGGGCATTGCCGACTAAAAGGACACTTAAGTAAACTGAGAGTAGTAGAGTATAGTGAGTGCAGATTCTGTGAGTAGGAGGACGAAACCTCCATTCACATCCTAACTGAATGTGTAGTACTCCAGAATCCAAGGGCACTATATCTAGGAGGATAACAAATAGAAGAGGGAGATTTACCTAACCTGAAGCCACTTCAAATCCTACACTTCCTTGACAAAATAGGATTGAAAGGGTCGTTATAAGCATTGAGATATTTCTTTGGTACATTGGCGACAGAAAAGGACACAATAGATATTTTAGGTCGCAGTGTATTAACACCCCATTCCCAACATAACATAAGGCATTCAGCAAGAAGAACTTTTGTCGGTGCCGAAAGAAGCAATATTTACTTATAGGACTCCTTAGTAGAGATGCGCGATACGATCCGACATTCCAAATTATCGATACTTTTACGTCCGATACTCGATATTTTGGATCCATACTTTGCTTCTTGATACATTGCAAGTATCAATACATTACAAGTATCGATACATTTCGCACTGCATCGATACCTTTACGATCCAGGATTTTTAGTGCATGTTTTTTTTTTTTAAATTGCCGGAGACAGACCAAAGGTAAAAAAAAAGAAATCATAAGAATATGTTTAAGTATACGTATCTACATTTCTAGATAATTTATTTCATGAACTTTTCGTATTATTCTGTTTATTTAATTAGTTAAGATGTTAAGATGTACTTATCAACCCCTATGTGGGAATAACTGGATCGGTAAACTATCGATATTTTGAGTATTGATGAATTAATATTCGATATTTTACTTGATCGATACTTTACGTTCTGATCCATATCGATACCTAATATCGATACTTTTGAGTGTATCGCGCATCCCTATTCCTTAAGTTAGGTTGAAAATGAGTTGAATGATCTTATTACCTTCCCTACGACCCAGGTAGATCTATTATGACTCATGTTTAACTTACTGTTCACCGTACAAGCCACACCTTTTGATAAAGGCTATAGTTGAATTGGATGAGACGTGTTTTAAGACGATGATATACATTCGGGTGAATTCAAGTGAAGCAGGTACATAGAATATGGTTAGCGGATTTGTTTTCCAAGTAGCAGAATTGAAAGTCCAACGTGTGTTGCAGACCAATTCTTCTCATGTGGTTACCAAGACGACAATGTCCTGTCATAAGTCCCAAGCGATTGTGCAGATGTTTCCTACTCTATTTCTAGATCTAAGCAGAGATGTTGGGTTAAGATAAACGCCTTCGATTACACCCTCTGTCTATTTTCAGATAATTCCATTAACAGTGCTTATATCACGCCTTAAACTCGGAAACGACTCTGGCGCGAGTGTAATAACAATTGTTTGCTCCACAACCTATTAATACGACGTTAAAATGCACTTAGATAGCGTCAAATGAAGATACAAAACTTCCAGGGGTCAAGTTGATATCAGAATATGATTCTAATAGGATAACAATAACGGGCTTTAATCGGCGATCTTAAACAAACTAAAGTACTTAAAATGAGTTTCTTATCAGAGAAACGATAGTATCTGTAATGAAATATATATTTTTTAGTGTACTTTAAACATTTTAATTATATTATATTTTAGGGTCATGATACAGTTTCAGCTGCACTTAGTTTCACTATATTTGAAATTGCAAAAAATCCTGATGTACAGGTAGGTTGTATTCTTTTAGGCTAGAATTTATAGTAACTACTTTAATTAGATTTAACACCTACTTCAACAATTAAACTAATAAAATATTGTAATAATGTACAGGTCAACCACTCTAGCTTGGCCTCTGAGATGAGCAGAAGAAAGAGTGAAAGAGTCACTGTGCAACAGACACAGACGACAGGAAGACCCTCGAATGTACAACAATTATTCCTATTTGCATTCTTTGCATATTTTTAAATTATTTAAAATTTTTTTCTAAAACTAAATAATACATATATTATATTTTTGAAATTGTCATGTATTTTTTGTTCGCTTTGGGGCTATCCACTATCGATTACTTTGATCAACCTACGTTTGGGTGGGCCTTTTTGCTTGGTATGGTCAAGAAATGTAATACCTGCCATTAAGGCAATACAATTACAATAAAGGAACGTTTTCAAAATAACTACCTTATCAATTTATGTGAAATATGAAAATAAAGAATCTGAAGAGCAGCTTTTATTTATTAAGTGTATTAATAATAGTTTTGTTCATAGAACACTAACTTAGAAGCTTCCATCTTAGCACTTTCAGAAAGCTTTAAATCAGTATAATTAAATTGCCTGAATAGGCTTGTAAATGCGTCAAGGGTAAAATAGGGGAAGATATATTTCAAAATCTAAAAAATGTTTTTAAAAAAATACTGGATATGGATTTCTTTCTGAACTGGATATTTCAGTTGGAAATTTAATAATTCTGTTGACGTAAGTAGACTCTGAAACAGTGACCAGTTTAAAAAAGACATATTTGCCCTTCTTTATACATAATATTAATGACAAATTAAACACAATTATTTGTTTAAAACAGGTAAAACTTTTATTTCATAATAAGTACTTACAAACACATTCACACATATTTTTTTATAAGCTAAAATAAATTTTATTTTTTTCAACAAATAAGTTTTGCACTCCATCATTTTTTTTTAAATTCTTTGATTCCAGATAAATTACTGTCTTCTGCGTCTGACCCATCACTTTGTGAATCACTATAATTTTCGCCCACTCTACTAATAAGCTCATCCATAACTGCGTCTATTGAACTGAAGTCCTTTCTCTAAAAGAAGGTCCTCAAGCCAAAACTTAGATCCTTCTTTATTAGAATCTAAAAAAAAGGAGAAAAAAATTCCTCACAGTATTTTTATTCCCTTTTGCCGTCTTTTACATTTGTAACAGCATTGTCAACATGAAAAATCTCTAATAATTTTAAAATAACATCTTCTGAATAAACTTCAACACCTTTCCTAGTTTCAACTAAGATATTCTGAAAATGGAATTGTATGACAGCATTTAAGAGAAACGGACTGCATGTCACACCAAAAACAACCCCTCTATGTCTATATGTCTTCAGTTGCCCATTAATATCATACCACAAAAATTGTATCTTCTTCCATGAGGCTAATTTTTAAAAATGCTGTCCTGATATCAGAAATAACACCTAATCTCTTGAGGAGAAAACGTAGTAGGATAGAAGGATTCAACTCTAAAAGATTTAAACATTTCTTTATACACATATTAAGGGATGGAGCACTCTTTATTCTGGCTGAAGCATTAAAAACAGGCCGCAATTTTGAAGTTTGACTGCTTAACTTAATAACGTGCCTATGTGGAAATAATGTCCCACTTCAACACTGACTATCTTGTCTTCTAGAACCTCATTGATCACTCCTTCAGCCAGCCATTCTCTTAAAATTTCATCATAAAGATCGTAGTACCCATCTTTCTTTAATTTTAACATTAAATTGTCCAAACACCTTTTAGCGATACTATAATTGGAAGGCAGAGGTGGATGATCATTTACCCAACACAAACCAACTTCGTACCTACCTTCACCGTCGATCTTAATATTATTTACAAATTGTTCCCACATCACTTGCTTCTTATCTTTCGTGGACATACTCTTCTCTTGAGAAAATATACCTAAAACGTCTAAGTTCCACAAATTCTGAATAGTTGCATCCATAGACAAGAGCGTAATAACTACCATGAAATTGGAGTGAAAATTCCACACCTGTAATTTTGAACCAATCAAAATACGTGTTTTTGACAGATCACCATGGCAACGGAGGTATTTTAGTGGAAATTTTTTTCTCGTGGGGTACCCAACAGCGAATTATACTGGAAATTTTTTGACGTTTACAATAACAGACCAAATTTTGACAGACTGGTTTTTATTTGTTCACATAATAGGTTTAGTTTTGATACATTTTAGTTACAATGCTAAGGTGTTTTCTATATTCGTCGGCCACTTCTTTTCTTCTTAATGGCGAAAATGCAGGGCTTTGGATGCTTTGAATTATGTGTCTATGTCTAATAAAATATATATAATATTTAGACACTAATTTATTCACCTTTTTCCCATTCAGCACTTTGAATTTTGCTTAGTTTAGGTGCAAATATTCGTGGACAATTCGGAACAAATTTTCGTTTTTCAAGTTGGATCCACAATCCTCTATTAATCCGAGTAAGTAAGTCATGGTGCAATGATTGATCATTTCATCAGACAATTTCACGCATATTTTGCATAGCGTATGATTTTCAAATCGATTCATTTTTAAACAAATAGGTAATTTTGTTGGTTTTACTTGCTGTGCAATATTCTTTATCGCAACAAAACGCGAGTTATTTAATGTTTTGAACTGTCAAAATACAATGATCACAGCCTCCTACGATTGATGCTTGCTGACGCTGGTTATGAATTTCATACCATTTTAAAGCGCTCATAACGCATGTTAATAAAAACGCAGAAAAACAATTTTCTACCACTTGTAGTTATTCAAAACTTAAATTAAAGAATATACTATTTTTGATTTTCAAATGGTATTCCCATGCAACTACAATGAGTAGAAATAAGCAATTTGAAGGCCTAAATAATTGCAGCGAAACATTTTTTTACGTCGGGCCGCTTGACAACTTCAAAACTGAAATAATATTCGAGGTTAGGGTCTCACTTAGTTACCATGACAACTCAACAATCAAGGCAACAACACCTTTTATGTTTCACTGGTGACTTGGAGAAAATAATTTGCATTGTTGAGAAACGAAAAATAAATTTTAAAAATATTTAATTTTCAACCATAATTCGGCGTGGAATTTTCTTACCGAATACCACGTGAGGTCAAATTAATATCAGGAAATTTTTTGACCTCTAGTGGTATTACTAGTGAATATTTCCCGGGGTTCGAGGAATTTTACCCATCAAAACCCAACCAAGACGAGTTTCCATAGAAACTAAATCGATACTCAATACAAGACTCTTACCAGTAAACAGCCTACCAGCTACATCCGCACCTATCAATATTTATATAGGTCCATCATGAGTATCAGTTAACACTATACTTTTTTCCTAAAGCTCCTTTAACCATGACCATCTCTGACGGATACAACATTTCGACATATAAGAGGCTTGATTACAAGAATAATTTCCATCAGCATTCACTAGATTCAATTTAAAAATATGAGTAACAAGGTGGGACTCATAACCTCCAAAAAGTGCATGTATTACAGAGTCTACCCCAACTGACTCATAACCCATTTTAGATACTAACGATTTACTGATGTATGAGCGTTGAAAGCCGGTGTCAACAATTGCCCGTACATATCTTCATATTGCTCCGTTAGTGGCCTTTACAACTAGAGTTTGAAAAAAAATTCCATCAAAAGTATTATTTGAGAGGGTATCAACTGTAAGGCTGTCAACGGGATCAACTGTAAGGCTGTCAACGGGATCAACTGAATTTGACCCAACGTTTGTATTCACCAAATTCTTGCTGCATACAATCATATCATGACTTTCTTTACATGTCGAACAAAAAACTTTAACATGACACTTTTTGGCAATATGTCCAAATTTTAAACACTTATGGCAACGACCTTTTTCAGTTAAAAATTTTATTTTTTGATTATATGCCCAGGTTTTCAGCTTATTACAATCTTCACCAATATGATTTTTATTACAAAAAATACAATTTAAATCCTTTTTTTTTTATTAAGAAGACCTGATGCAGTAGAAATATTGAATCTGTTTCCCTGATTAGAAAATGAAGGTTTCTTTTTAATACAATCAAAATCAGAAACTGCCAAGGAAATACGCTCTTCATTTTCTATCTCCTTTCTTAGAAAAAGCATTAAAACATCGAAACTTAACTTCTAACTAGATTCTATATCATAATTATTACTGCGTTGCCATGCTTTCAAGACTTCTCCTGGTACACACGATTCTACCATAGGATAGAGCATAGCTGCGTATTTATCGGATGTTACACCTAGAGTTTCTAAAGACCGTAATTGAGATTCGATACTATCATACAATTTTGTTAAGCTACTTTTGGTATTCAAATTATTTAAAACTAATTTTAATAACTCCCTAACATAAAATTCAACAAGTAAATCATCACGACCGAACCTAGACTTAAGACTTTCGATGGCCTTTGGGTAGTAATCATGAGTAGGTGAATAACTTTCTACTAAATGTCGAGCTCTAGACTTTGGTGTTGTAGCATGAATAAGATATTGGAACTTATCTTCTAGAGCCATGTCCTCATCCTCATCAATACGTTTAAATTGTGACCAAAATGTTAACCAATTCTTAATATTGCCGCAAAATTTAACAAATTCTATCTTTGGCAACTTTAAACTTGTTTTGTTACTCTTAACTGACTCTATCGCATCTGAATTAAATAGCTGATCTACAGAAATTTTAATAGACTTATACTTGCGATTAACATCATCCATGATCTCTACTTCTTGTAGAATAACTCTCTCATCGCAAGCTTCATCCAACATATAACCTATTAACTGATTATGGAGATCAACTAACGAAGACACCTTTTTTCCTAACATTTCAACATTGCATTTTAACACCTTCTGGTCAGGTTCCCTGCTTTTAAGAATCGTCTCCGTTTCATCGCAAATATTTTGGAAATAAACTCATACAAGTCCAAAAGACTTCTTGGTCTTATCCATCTCGATAGGAACTCGCCGAAGCCTCCAAAAAGTGTAAAATACAAGATTAACTAACCATCCAAATATATTTTCAAAAATGATCCAAATATGGAATAGAAACAGTAAAACTTATAAAAAACCAGATATTAAAAATCTCTAAAACATATCTTCTAAAACATATATCATATTGACAAATGTAATCAAAACAATCAAGTTAACAAAATACATACTGAATTTTACAAAATAAAAATGTGATTCAGTTTCAACAAGTGGGCTTATCTTCTCGAGTAATAGTATCATGCTGCGCATCCAAATCTCAGAGGCCAGAGGAACATAGCATTTCTAATATAAATAGATTCTATACAGATAGATAGTTAAGTTTTTATAAAAGTGTATAGTAAAAACAAATTAAAATAAATAAATTAGAATTGTGAGAATAGTGCTTAAGTATTAAATAAATTAATTAGTACATTATAAATAAACTGTTTTTAATAAATAAACTATTTTTAAATTAAACATAATTTTCGTCTTAGTTTTTTTATGGTTTCCGATATAATTTATTTATTTTTAATTTAAGTATTAATTTTCTTGAAAAAGTAGGTGTTATCAACTGAATTAAATTTAATATAATATGTTTCTCTAATTTTGTGTAGGAAAAACTCATAAAAGAACAGAAGAGAATTTTTGGTGATCTAAAAAGTGCTATGCCTAAAATGGCCCACTTAAATGACATGAAGTATTTGGAATTAGTAATTTTTGAAAGCTTGAGATTATATCCACCAGTTTGCTTTCTAGGAAGGCAATTAAAAGAAGATCATGAGTGGAGTAAGTATGGTTAAACCCAATACATCGACAATGTAGAATGTGGATTAGACTTTATTAAGGAGAAAAAGTAATAATAGTAATACACCAAGTACTAGGACATAAATTGAAGCATCATATTTTTTATCTCAATAGGTTCAGATACCAACTAATTATTGGTTTTTAGTTATTTTGTCTCTAAGATAAAGCTAGATAAGGTAAAAGAAGCAGCCAAAAAGATGTATTTTTAATTACTTTATAAAAAAAAAATGCAAAGAATCTACTGATTGCTAAAACATACCTTATTAAAATATCAACAAATTAAAACCTTCCAAATAGTTAAATAGTTAAATTATCATGCAATATTAATGAATCATCCAATATAAAAATACGTAAACTTTATTTTAAATGATCTATTGATCCACCATCTCTATTCATGAAGAAAAATTACAAGGAATTTAATAAATAAAATTAAAAGTAATCGATAGCCAAAAGGAGCTAGGTTATATAAATTTTTTAACTAGATCCAGTGAGGTTAATATTGGAGAAATCTTATCAGCAATGTTTTCAGTAAAAGTGTACTCTTTTAAGAAAAATTCATGCTTTCAAAAAATTTATTGACTGTTTTCCATCTTCAGGGTGCTACAAAAATATTATCTAATGTGTATGTATTATGTTGTACTTACATCTTAGTTGAGATTGATTTACAAAAGTTATTCTTAAAAATGGTCATCTTAACACTACTTAAATGTAATTAATATGACTGTATCTAAATATTTCAGATTTCCTAAACATAAATAATTATATCTGTATAATTTGTAATATTCTTATTTATGTTTCCTTGTTTTTTAGATGGCCACCTTTTCCCAAAAGATTTAAATTTGATTTTTTTAACATATGATAATATGAGAAATCCAAAGTATTTTCCAGAGCCACTAAAGTTTAAACCAGAAAGATTTCAAAATAAAGCAAATTTGAATCCTTACGTATACATACCTTTTAGCGCAGGTCCAAGAAACTGTATAGGTGAGTATGACCCAACTTTTTGGAGATCATTAAGGTGTATATGTTTCACAAAAGTCTTTTAAAAGATAATAGAAAAACGTGTTAACTCCATCATTTAAATATACAAATTACTTTCACCAAATCAGTATGGATTTTAAAAACATAAGTCTACGGAGTACACAATAGTCGAAATTTCAAATAAGGATCCACTCTGCTCTTGACAGTAGTAAACCATGTCTATGTGTCTTCTTGGATCTTTGACACAGTTAACCACATCTTACTGATCGAAAAATTCGTCGAAACAAGCGTTAGTTCGCTTCCCTAATAGCACAGTATTGTTACACGAACGTTCCAGAAACATACCCTTGGGACATTAGAAATGTTTCTGTCATGTTTCTTATTCTCCCTCAAACGTACCTGGGATATTTCTGGCAATGACCATGTCATCATTTGTAACGTATTAGAGACGTTTCTCAGAGACGTTTGTGGAACATCCTGCGATGTTGCTCAAACATCTTAGGTAAGTTTTTTATACTATTGCTGGAACGTTCTAGAAATGACCTAAATGTTTTTTAGTAGGATAATCAAATATATTACTTTTTTTCATAAATTTATTTGAAAAAAAATTTTTGACAAAAAAAAATAAAAAATGTTAATTATTACGCTCTGATTCAGTGCGTCTATTTCTTCCCGGAGCCCTCCACAACCAGTCATCTATTTTAATTTCCATTTCTTTTTTGTTTACCAATTTACCGAATCTGAAAATGTTTCAATTAAATGATAATATAAACGATTGATATTAGGTTAAAATAATTACCCGTAATGGCTTCAGCTATTTTTAACTTGGCATCTTCCTTTTTTCCAGTGAATGAAAACAACTTACACAACTCATTCTTTGAGGGGAAATATGCATCTTCTAACAAATTCACATACATTATTGGTACCTTGGTTTTCAAAATACAATACCTAAGATAGTTATTTTTAAAGTTAACAAATAAAGAAATTATGACTAGAATGTATAAAAGGCACATTTTGTTAAAGGAAATGTCAATATTGTCATTTGACGGTAGACGTGTTCTGTTAATACTCCGCGAGCAAATCAAATATGAGGTTTATTCCTTTTCATAGAAAATATCGTTCGATCCATACAATTTGTATAAATGGAACGATATTTTCATACGTACTGTAGCTCAGTGCTACACTTTCAATGCAAAAAAATAGATTCCATCACGAGTACTTCCTTCAATAGTGTATTTTTTTTAGCTCGCGGGGATTAACAGAACTTTCCTGCTGAGCCAGAAGGAAGGGTATATTCAACTCTGTCGTATTTGCTTTGCACTCTTTTTTGAAGGAACTAATAAAGATAAATTGGACATGTAGCAGTTGTCTTGTGAAATAAAAATATTATTCAAAATGTTCAAATTTAATATTGGAGTTTGGTATGATTGTAGATTTCTGGTGATTGCAATAATTTTATAATTTATTGATATTTCAAAATAATTAAAACGAAAATAGAGTACCTAAAACATACCTAAATACGATGTTTCTAAAACGTTTTTGAGAAATCATTCCAGAAACGTTTCTTTAGAGACATCGTAGGGACGTACCATTTATGTCACAAACATAGAAACATACATGGAACCTAAATGGGATGTTTCTGGCAGATCGGTGTTATTAGGGTTATTGGCAATCTAATATTTATTTTTCTTGTGTGTAGGTTCTGTGATGATATAAACATCACAAATAGCACACAAATTAAATCAACTGTACCTACATAATAATAAATAATTGAATTTGAATAAGGATAATTTCCTGACCGTAGTAGAATTTTATATAAATTAAAAGTTCACTGGTTTATTCGGTCGTTTTTATTGTTTCTATAAAATTTAAGTACAGGCACTACATATGTTTCGGAAACACTGTTCCATCTTCTGGTGCCAGTCAATATTTCTATTGAACAAATTCTTATTAGCATTTATAACATAAGAAATTAATTAATAAAACAAACCAAAAACTAAACATAGATGTTTAGAAATATTAATGAGTGAAACACAACGCAGATGCAGTATTGATTTTTTCTTTCTCTATCATTGTAGTACATTTTTATAATTGATCTACAAATATCTATTTTATCTTGTACAAATAATTATTGTGTTGTATATCTATGTACAATATTTTTATTCGTATTTTTTTATTTTTGAAAAATACATATTTTTTTATAATTATCATTACTTTATTTAGCTCCCCATCAATTTTTTGCAGGTAGGAAATTTGCAATGTTGGAAATGAAATCAGTTATATCAAAAATTATAAGAAACTATGAATTACACCCAGCCAATCCTGTTCACAATTTGAAATTAGTGCCTGATATTGTACTCATGTCTAAGAATGGAGTTTGTATTTCAATAAAGAATAGAAAATATTTTTTTGTTTTTTTTTATATGAACAATATATCGGCTACAAGTAGTTTTGTTTATTCGTGTATTTTTTGAAATTCGTATTAGCAGGTAAGTTAAATTAAATAGCATTTAATTGTTTTATAAATTTAATACATTTGCAAAGCAAGAAAAATATTCCATTCAAATATAACCAAGACGTAACAACGAAGCAAACTCAAATAAAATGTCAACAAACAAGGATGTTCGCAAGAACATCGTAACTCGAAAATTGCTGTTTTACAGCTTTGAAAAATTTGAAATTTATCCCGAATCTAAAATTTTTATGCAATTATATTTTGTAACATTTTAATAGTTAAAAAATATGCTAGATTTTTAAAAATGTAACCTGAAAAAGATGTAACTATTTGATATTTCTGACGTATCTACGTTCTTATTAAATTAAAAGGTGTAACTATTTGTTATTGCCAAAGTAACGTCAATATCTAATCTAAAGATACGATGTAACTTTTATATAAGTTTAAGAAGAGCGCCTCTAGCGGAAATGTATTAGTAATAACATCGTATCTTAAATGCCATAACGATAATATATTTTATCTACTTCGGATGATATAGTATATTTCTAACAGCTCTGTAATTATCTATATGTATATACAATGCTATGATAAAATGGTAAATGCTGATTTTATAAAAGTTTAGATACGAAAAAATTAAACAATTTAACCGTTATTACAGTTACGATAATCTCTGGAATATATGATGTAACTTAATACTTTTAATAATTCCTTAAAATTTGGTTTTAAACGGTTGGTATAGCGAAAGTAAAAGTTGGAAAGGCTTTTGGTAGGTAGAGAGGGGGTAAACGTCGGTTTTCGGACGGCTTCGAGAATTTCGCAGTAATATTTACCTGGCAGTGTCGTTTCATAGAATAAGTAATTTTAAACTGTTATCGGCGGAACCGGACAATCGCATGGATTTGTAGACTATAAATAATTATTAAACATGTATTATAATATTTAAATCATAATTTTACAAAATTTCAACAGCTATTCACAATTTATTAAATTATTTACTCGAAATTGTTATTAACATCTGTAAAATAATTTTGTACGCCAATGTATCGCGTCCACTTCGGTGAGATCCGCCGCAAACCTGTCAATTTATTTGTATAAAGTGGGAGAACTGGCAAAAGCCTTTCCAACTTTTATTTCTGCTATACGTTTTTGAAATATCCTTGAAAAGGCCCCATAGGTACTATGCCGTAAGTTCCACCATTATATTGTGATCTTGAAAGTGTCTGGAATATTTTGCGCCCTGTGGAGTGTCAGGCAATTGTTGATTGGAAATTAAAATATTATCAAGTTGAAGATATGTAAAAATTATTCAAATCCTTTCCTCGATCACCAGCAGCTTAAATATTATCTCGACCAGTGGCGGCTCGTGGGCATTAGCGGCAGTGGGGCACACACTGGAAAGGAATCCCGGGATTCATTTTTCCCTTAGGAAAACAAGTTCTCCGCTTAATGAAAATTAAATATATTTCAAAACAATCAGTTGGGGCAATAACGATTTCTGAATGTGACTACAGGGAGCTAAATGTGACCACTCAAAATGCATTTAAATATGTGGCTATTTAATCAAAAAAGTATTACATAACCACTCTTGCGAAATTTGCATAAATTTATCAGAAGAATGCAATTTACTTAACAATTCTAACTTGTTAACGCATTTTAAACATACGACTCTAAAGAAAAGGTGTTTGGCAATTTAAAATCTCCCAGCGAAAAATTTCTCTTTTATATTTTCAAATTAGAAAAAATATTGATATCTCTATTTGATAGTTAGTCAACTAAGCCTGGAATTTCCAACGCATACCTTTTTGAGATGAGCAAAATAGAATTTGGTCATCCTTGCCAACAATTTGCGAAAATGTACACCATTAAATTATTCATAAGACTCAGAATTTTTTATACTCTTAAATATGCAAAGAGAGATTTGAAATCCTCGAAAAAGTCCCATTTATAAATAATATTGATTTTTTTTCATCTTAATTATACATAAGATAAATACAGTGAACTCTCACAAAGACTTAATCATAAATTCGTCTCAGACCTGGTTGGAACCCATTTTTAACCGACTTCAAAAAAGGAGGAGGTTATCAATTCGTCGCGATATTTTTTTTTTATGTATGTTCAGCGATTATTCTTTAACACGGTGTCCGATTTCAATGATTCTTTTTTTGTTAGAAAGGAGCTACTTTAGGGGTGGTCCCATACAAATTTGGTCAAAATCTAATAATTGGATCCATGAGAAAATCCTCAAACTCTTCATTTTTTATGTATGTTTAGCGATAATGCTTTCCCACCATGTCCGATTTATACGATTCTTTTTTTGTTAGTAAGGGGGTACCTTAGGGGTGGTCCCATATAAATTTGGTTAAGATGTGGTGATGGCATCGGCACGTTTTTAAAGTCGGTTTTTTTAAATTTTTAATTTGTAATACTTGTAGACAATTACAAACGGGCAATTAGTAAATTGTATCTTTAAAAAAAGTATTTTTTAACACGTTTATTTAAATGCATAAAACTTATGTCCGCCCAATTATGGAATATTGTGGTCCGAACTCTGAAGTCCATAATTAAATACAGACAATTGCCTTCGAGGATACCAGTTCAAGCGAAAAATTAAAAACTTTAAAACCAGTATAAGGCCAAACTTCCCAAATAGAATTTTTGCAACTTGGAATAATTTGTCACCTGCTACTGTTGACGCAGAATCCGTAAATATGCTTTAAAATGGACTTGATAAGTTTCTCTGGAATTAGACTATTTATATGAATTTCTTTATTTCTGAATTAACTTTAGTTGTTGTATTTTCACATTAAAATTGTAACATCAGTATCATCTATTTTTTATTATCTATTATCTATTATCTATTATCTATTATCTATTATCTATTATCTATTATCTATTATCTATTATCTATTATCTATTATCTATTATCTATTATCTATTATCTATTATCTATTATCTATTATCTATTATCTATTATCTATTATCTATTATCTATTATCTATTATCTATTATCTATTATCTATTATCTATTATCTATTATCTATTATCTATTATCTATTATCTATTATCTATTATCTATTATCTATTATCTATTATCTATTATCTATTATCTATTATCTATTATCTATTATCTATTATCTATTATCTATTATCTATTATCTATTATCTATTATCTATTATCTATTATCTATTATCTATTATCTATTATCTATTATCTATTATCTATTATCTATTATCTATTATCTATTATCTATTATCTATTATCTATTCTATTATCTATTATCTATTATCTATTATCTATTATCTATTATCTATTATCTATTATCTATTAATCTATTATCTATTATCTATTATCTATTATCTATTATCTATTATCTATTATCTATTATCTATTAATCTATTATCTATTATCTATTATCTATTATCTATTATCTATTATCTATTATCTATTATCTATTATCTATTATCTATTATCTATTATCTATTATCTATTATCTATTATCTATTATCTATTATCTATTATCTATTATCTATTATCTATTATCTATTATCTATTATCTATTATCTATTATCTATTATCTATTATCTATTATCTATTATCTATTATCTATTATCTATTATCTATTATCTATTATCTATTATCTATTATCTATTTATCTATTATCTATTATCTATTATCTATTATCTATTATCTATTATCTATTATCTATTATCTATTATCTATTATCTATTATCTATTATCTATTATCTATTATCTATTATCTATTATCTATTATCTATTATCTATTAATCTATTATCTATTATCTATTATCTATTATCTATTTATCTATTATCTATTATCTATTATCTATTATCTATTATCTATTATCTATTATCTATTATCTATTATCTATTATCTATTATCTATTATCTATTATCTATTATCTATTATTCTATTATCTATTATCTATTATCTATTATCTATTATCTATTATCTATTATCTATTATCTATTATAAATTATCTATTATCTATTATCTATTAATCTATTATCTATTATCTATTATCTATTATCTATTATCTATTATCTATTATCTATTATCTATTATCTATTATCTATTATCTATTTATCTATTATCTATTATCTATTATCTATTATCTATTATCTATTATCTATTATCTATTATCTATTATCTATTATCTATTATCTATTATATATTATCTATTATCTATATCTATTATCTATTATCTATTATCTATTATATATTAGCTATTAGCTATTAGCTATTATCTATTATCTATTAGCTATTATCTATTATCTATTATCTATTATCTATTATCTATTATCTATTATCTATTATCTATTATCTATTAGCTATTAGCTATTATCTATTATCTATTATCTATTATCTATTATCTATTATCTATTATCTATTATCTATTATCTATATCTATTATCTATTATCTATTATCTATTATCTATTATCTATTATCTATTATCTATTATCTATTTTATCTATTATCTATTATCTATTATCTATTATCTATTATCTATTATCTATTATCTATTATCTATTATCTATTATCTATTATCTATTATCTATTTATCTATTATCTATTATCTATTATCTATTATCTATTATCTATTATCTATTATCTATTATCTATTATCTATTATCTATTATCTATTATCTATTATCTATTATCTATTAATCTATTATCTATTATCTATTATCTATTATCTATTATCTATATCTATTATCTATTATCTATTATCTATTATCTATTATCTATTATCTATTATCTATATCTATTATCTATTATCTATTATCTATTATCTATTATCTATTATCTATTATCTATTATCTATTATCTATTATCTATTATCTATTATCTATTATCTATTATCTATTATCTATTATCTATTATCTATTATCTATTATTATCTATTATCTATTATCTATTATCTATTATCTATTATCTATTATCTATTATCTATTATCTATTATCTATTATCTATTATCTATTATCTATTATCTATTA